GGTCCCTGTGCTTTGCTAAGCTTGTTCTAAGTAGGTGCTTTAGACCACTGAGCCATCTCACCAGCCCCTGGAAATATTTTTGATGTTTGCTTTCCCAAGAAGTATTTTGAAAAAATTATGATAAAAAAAATTGAATGTAAAATATTAAGCGCAGGTGGAGCACTTAAACACTGGGAAATGAAATGGAGTGTAGGGCCTGACGCACATACAGAGAGAAGACGCGCTCCTTGAAGAGCTTCGGCGGCCGTAACTTGCCTGGCAGACGCAAGCCTGCTTGCTGAACTTGACGCAGAGGCATGCGGTAGTGTAGCACACTGCTCGGTACCTGAGCACGCAATTTACTGCTTTTTACTCTGAAAGAGGAACTAATCTGGGGAGAAATCCAAACGAGAATATAAATTAAAATACAACTCAATTTGAAATTTGTTAGTTGTATCGGGTACATTATTTTCTCCAAATTATTTTCTCTGCAGCTCATTGCAGAAATTCCGTAGGGCTTTTGGAAGCACCAGGCCTGAGGCTCAGAGCTCCCTAGCTGCTGCTGCTGGAGTGCGTGCGTGCGTGCGTGCGTGCGTGCGTCAGAGCCAGGTACGCTCTTCAGCCACGGAACACTTTGAACACCGATTTCAGAGTAAACAGTCCTGGGAACAAGACTCTCAAACTGAAGTGTTGTAAAGTGTTAAAATTACTAAATCAGGATTTTAAAGAATGCTGATACATAATTTACTTTCTTTTTCTCAAGGAGTGCAAAGTGACTTAAGTGACTTCTCAGAAAAACACAGTAATCACTGTTCCCAGTATGGGTTTTGTTTTTTTAGTGTCTATAGGGATAAGTGGAAAAAGGTAGAGCTGACCCGAAAAATAAGGTGTGAGTTATTAAGTCTCAGGTCAGATGTGCAGAATCGTGTCACAGTCCACATTTGGGGCAGGTTTATTGATGCCGGTGACCTGGTTCTGGCTGACAAAATTATGGGGAAGCCAGAGCCTCCTTAAAACCCAGGGAACCTGCGTGTCCCGCTGGAGTCCAGTACATGCGGCTCTTCTCACCCAGTAGACATGTAACTACACAGGTCCTGCGATCTCAGCACGCCTCGCAGTCATTGCCTAATTCTGCTAACTGGAGGAAACCATGGGAAGACCACCCTGAGGCTGGACAAGTAGGGAAAAATAAAAGGCCTCGTATAGATTTGGCACAGGGTCTCACTATGCACCTCGGACTCTAGTGATCCTCCTGTTTTCAGCCTCCCCAGTGCTGGGATTATAGGTGTGTGGCACTATGCCTGAGTTGGTGGCCAGCTCAGTGTGCCCAAGGGCGGGGCCAGTGTGGCATGTGGTGCAGGGGATCGAACCTCAGTCTCTGTGCTTGCTTAGCAGGTGCTTAGTCCACTGAGCTATCTCACCGATCCTAGAGCATCTATTTTATTGAATGTGTTTATTGGTAAATCATACTGCTGTGCTAATGTACATTCTGAAACACACAAAATGAAGAAACTGTGGAATGTTAAACACTATAATAAATTTTCTTTGAATAATCCCGTTTGTTCATTCTACAAACAGTATAGAAGAGATGATAGAAATCTGTGACAAATGGTTAAATTAAAAATGTATTAAAAATAGGGCTGGTGAGATGGCTCAGTGGTCTAAAGCACCTACTTAGAACAAGCTTAGCTAAAGCACAGGGACCGCGGTTCAATACCCCAGCACCACATGCCAGCCAGCCCCGCCCCCTGGTGGGCTGAGCTGGGCCACACACACACACACACACACACACACACACACAATAAATGTAAAATAAATAAATAAAATAAATTTTAAAAAATGTATTAAAATAAAAAGATACATGACAGATTCTCCTCAAAATATGCCTCATTTCAAACACCCTTGTCCCATCACTCTTGCCACTTTCCACAGCAGGTCTGCATGTCCTCTTTGGTGTGTGTCTTTACAAGGCGTGATAAAATATGTGGTGAGTGCTGTTGCTGGGTGCCATCCAGTGGCAAGGCAGGGTGTGTCTTCTTTTTTTATTTTTATTGAGAAATAAATATGAATGAGACAGCTTCACAGCTGATTAATAGGACAGTTTTGATAATCAATACATTGTACATTGTTATCTTCTTAGTGTTTATCCATAGTACAAGAAGCAGACAGGGTATCCTGTCCAAACACGATTAGTACACCTCTTTCTTCTCATTGAATTAAGCGAAAGTAGCTGTATATCTATCCTAACTATTTTGTATATATAAATACAAAATGATCTTTCCTTTGTATCCTCCTTTTTTTGTTTAGTCCTGTCAGATGAATATTCTATTGGCATCTAAATACTATAGGTGTTTGAATTCAGCTAAACAATCCAACTCTGTCTAGCAGTCTATAATATTGGGGGTTATCCTCAGAAGTTATTGACTTGAGCCTTTTACAGCTCATCATATTAAGATGGCTTTACTTTATATACCTCATTTTTATACTTTTCTACTGGATGGTTAAGACTAAGATAAAGCAAGACCTATATAGCAAGAAATGTAACTTTTGCACCTGATAAAGTCAGTCAAGTACCCTCAGGATTTATCCTGTAGACCTGTACCGTACTTTGTAGATCCTTTGTCAGTGTCAGCCATGAGGATGAGTCACAGCCGTTGCTTGGTCAATGTGCTCCCCGTGAAAGCCTGAGAGAATGTTTTCTCTCCATGTGACTCTTCTTAGGCACACTATACATCATCAATCACAGTCCTCTGTGGCTCCATAATCTCCTTGATCAGAAAATTTGGAGCACAACTGAGTTACATGATGTTACAGTACAGGTCTCCTATGTCCCGAGTCTTCACTGACCTTGAAAGGCTAGGGCCAAAAGGTTGGCTGACCTTGCAGCCCTTCCTTTTCTCCAATTTTGATCTGCTAACTTAGGTTGTTAACCCTCCAGAAGAGAAGCTTATTATTAATCTGCAATATATGCAATTCGGTTTACCCTATCTGTCTAAATATCAAACATCTTTGGCATATCATGGAACAGGTATTTTCCATTAAGTATTGAGGGTGTATCTTCATCTACCTCATTTGCTGGACCCGGCACTGAGTGACCTCTAGCTCTTACCTACATAGGCTTAAGGTTTTGAGTTGACTTAGGGCAAGGAGACGGCCACCATAATGAAACCAAAGACACAAAAGCGACCTTCTGGGTCAGACGTGTCTTGTTGCTCTTGCACTTTCTGGAGCTGCTCTGGAGGTCCTCTTTTGTGTCTCTCCTAGCAAAGGCTCTGCCACTGCGCTCCATCCCTAGGTCCTCTTTATCCCTTGGTTAGGTTTCCCTGATGTACTCCCCTCCTTCAGTGATGCGGTTGGCTGAACTGGGGCCACCGAGAATGCAAGGGCTGGTTGCTCAGCCTGCACTAACTGCTGTCCTTTGTTGCTCTCATTGCAGATGCGGAAGCCATGGAGTTGAGCTGCAGGGAAGTTCCTCTTTATGTAAGTCCCCAAGCATTGGGCTTCCGGTCCATGGAGCCTTTTCCTAACTTGAACCTTGTGCCTGACATGATGAGAAATGCTTTGTTTGCTATTGAGTTGAGGCGCACTGAGCAGTAACATCTCATACAAGTATTTGCATTGAGCCTTTTGCAACTGGTTGACTCTTGTTTCCAAAGTCTGAGTTTTACTTGTATTTTCCTTAGAATAATATCTTTATATAATTTCTGAACTCATAAGCATTCCATTCCCTGATGGGGTAAGTTTTGAACATATTATTTTATAATATCCAGTGATGGTCAAAAGTATCTTTGTAGTACTTTTTTTGGGGGGGGAGTTTGCTGGTGATATTGTCTGAAAATATGAGGTAGGAACTCAAAAGGCAAAGTGCTGGGGCACATGCAGAAGAAATGCGGGCTTGGGGACAGATAATCTATGAGATTTCTGGTCAGATGTGCCCTCTAGGCCAAAGGAGGATTCTGATTCTGAGACCAGTTCCTTGGTGCAGTGGGGAAGGAAACTCGCTCCTCAGACAAAATGGCAGATGGCTCACCTTGGCTCCTGCAGTGGGAAGGAGCTGTGTTGGAGGTGGGACTGGACAGGTGGGTACGGCTGGCTGGCCGTGGTTGAGAACCAAATATTAAGGAGCAGAAGGAAGGCAATCAGAAGCTTCAACTGATACAAATAGAGAAGTGCAGTCTCCCACACTTCACCACCCTGCTCACGCACACACCCTCCATCCCTCCTTCCACACACTGACCAGACCACTCTGTTCTCAGAAGGAGGACAAGGTAATAAAACAAATGGATTTCAGAATAATAATAGAAGAGCTGCCCTCGGGGTTACCCAGTGGTCTGTAGTTCTCTCTATTATGATGTGCAGAACATCAAATATACTTGGGAGCCTGGGTATAATTAAAGATAAATAAGAGTCTGACTTGAGGCTAGATTGGTAGGCACTCTCGAGTCCTGCTGTCACTTCCTGGGAGGGTGCCCTCCTGTTTCTCTGCCTCAAAACAACCAGTCTCCAAACCTAACCATGATGTAAAACGTTGTAGTTGATCAACATCCTTGTGTGGTTGTTTGAACACAGACCTATTAGATTAGGACCAGACCAAGGAAGGGCTAATAGTACACATTGCCTAAACAGATAAACCGTTTAAATGAATCAAATACACACAGGAAGCTTTTATGAGTAAATGTACCCATTTCAAAAAAAATGAAAAGTACAGAAGTATTAAGGAAATATGTCAGTGTTTACCCTGCATAAGTATTGCATTGAGATGTTAATCTATCAATTCTGAGGTGTAGTTTTCTTATTTTATCCTGAATCCGAGAAGCTCTGACATTCACTGTGCCGTCTGGAAGATTCTTTCTGCACCTGGGACCTTGGTCACAAGAGTCACAGTGTTGCCACTTCACTTTACTTAAGTTCTTTGTATTTTACTTAATAAGTTAATTGCTTTTGCAATGATTTCACCATGATTTGGCACTAAAAGGCTAAGTTGTTATGTACTCAGATGGACATGCGACAGCAGCATAATGTATGATAAGTGATGTATAAATTGATTTAGAAAAGCTTATTTAATAAGTATATCTTATTTGATAATTCGAGGTAATTAAACATGTTGTACTAGACACTTTCCTTTGCTAGTAGATTATATGATGCGTATTCTAATTGATGGTATTGTAGATGAAAGTTACTAAATATATGTATCATAAATGACTCTTCCTATGTGGGTTGCATCCTGCTTTTTATCCTTACGTTGTTTTTTTGTTTGTTTATTTTGTTTTGTTTTTTATGGTAAAAATGACTGCAAGCTGCCTTAGGCCCATCTGGCTACTTGGCCTCTTCCCCAGGAAGAAGTGGACAGGAGTCTGTTGTAATGAAAAATTGTCTCAAATACAATTTCACCAAATGAGCAATATGTATCCAGTGCAGATACAAAAGCTATGCCACGGTTGGTCTCTGTGTGGTGGGGGCCTCCGCTCTGCCCTTCTAAGAACTTGCGGTTGGTCCATTGTGTCTGTGGGCTCTGCACCCACTCTTTAATAACCAAGTACAAGTTGTCTTTATTTTTTTGTCTTTTTGAGACAGGGTCTCACTGTGCCGTTCAGGCTGGCCTTAAGCTCTTTCTGTAGCCCAGGCTGGTCTTGAACTCCTAACAATCTTCCTGCTTCAGCCTCCCAAGTGTTGGGACAACAGGCATGCGCCACCATGCTCAGCCACAACACTCTTAAGAATCAAAAGAAACAAGAAATAGGGGCTGGTGAGATGGCTCAGTGGTCTAAAGCACCTACTTAGAACAAGCTT